CAGCAAATAATTTTTAAGTTTTTCATGAGTAAAAAACCCATGAAAAACTGTCATCTGTAACATCACAGGTGATGGTCCCTCAAACCATCAATAATGGGTTACAGGACAGTTATTTTCATGGGTTAATGGGGCATAAAAGTAATGGGAGAAATTGGCATTAAAATAATGGGTATGTAATGGTATGGTTGAGGGGGTTATTTTAATGGGTATTTCACCCATTCTTAACCCATCATGAAAAGTGGTCCAAAATAAAAAAAAATAAAAAAATGGCGGATATTGGCATGCAAATATCCGCCATTTTGTGCATTCTAACCAGTGTTGTTAATTGTGTCTCAAGGAAGCACAAATGCAATTTCGTAGCAAACGCAACTGCATTTGCCGTTCCTTGCCTGAGGCAGAAAAAAATGGGGATGCGTCCGGCTGGGTTTGCCGGGGTGGAAAAATAGGTGGGTTGCAAGGGTGTTTTCTTGGGGGAGAAAGGGAAGAAGGTGAGTTGCTAGGGCACCGAGGGAAAAAAATGAACCCTTACAAATGACCACCTTCATATTGGAAAAACTGTGTAGTGGAGCACAAGCTTCAAAATTTTGACTGCAGGCAAATATCATTCTCTCTTTCAATTTTTCAGATGATAACAACTATTCATTCCTATTAATATTTATTCATTTCATATGATTAATGAAAGACCATAACTGCATTTCTGGAGTACAGGAAAAATGGAAATGCCAAAAAGCTAAATTTTATGCCAGCTTTTGGACTGCATTTTTTCACACCTCTTTCACATGCTCATGACTTGAAATGGCATAATGGGAATTTTTGTGCATAAAAAATTTTCATATCAAAATGCTAACTCAAATGGAAACTTATCTTGAAGTACAGATGGACTAGTGGCAAAACAAAATTCAGTTGACCAGAAAGTAATTTTGAAAAATTGGCCACATTATATCATTTTTTATTTGATTTGTATTTTCAAGGGCAGGTTGGATTTCACTTTGTTTTTTTATTTTCGCTGAACAGACAAAGGTAATTGTTACTCAAACTGAGGGGAAGTAGGATACTCTACCTCCCGCATTCCTGTTCTTTTTTTTAAACTTTGTTTGATGTTTGGAGCATGAGTGCTTCTGTTGTGCCTTTTTTATATGTATCAATTTTCATGAGGAACCAAATAACCCCTTCACCATTGGTTTATGAAATAAAAATTCATTTACTTCCCATGATCANATTCCTATTAATATTTATTCATTTCATATGATTAATGAAAGACCATAACTGCATTTCTGGAGTACAGGAAAAATGGAAATGCCAAAAAGCTAAATTTTATGCCAGCTTTTGGACTGCATTTTTTCACACCTCTTTCACGTGCTCATGACTTGAAATGGCATAATGAAAATTTTTGTGCATAAAAAATTTTCATATCAAAATGCTAACTCAAATGGAAACTTATCTTGAAGTACAGATGGACTAGTGGCAAAACAAAATTCAGTTGACCAGAAAGTAATTTTGAAAAATTGGCCACATTATATCATTTTTTATTTGATTTGTATTTTCAAGGGCAGGTTGGATTTCACTTTGTTTTTTTATTTTCGCTGAACAGACAAAGGTAATTGTTACTCAAACTGAGGGGAAGTAGGATACTCTACCTCCTGCATTCCTGTTCTTTTTTTTAAACTTTGTTTGATGTTTGGAGCATGAGTGCTTCTGTTGTGCCTTTTTTATATGTATCAATTTTCATGAGGAACGAAATAACCCCTTCACCATTGGTTTATGAAATAAAAATTCATTTACTTCCCATGATCAGGAAAGAGGTTGTTTTTCCACTTTTTCATCTCAAGTCTCAACATTTCCTGCACAGTTTCACCCAACAATTTTGGGAAGCTTTTAGTATTTTTACTGCAAACAGCTGGCAGTTTATTGATGGTTGACTGTAAAAGAATTGCCCCCAGTTTTGAAAAACCTTGGAGGCATTAAAATAGTGGACCTCAGAGTGATATAAGCAACACAGAAACCTTCAACTCTGTAAGGAGGAGGTCCCTGCCTGTGCATTGACACACCTCATCATGGGTCCACAGAAGAGGCCACACAAGATGCTGCATTTATAAATATTTTCATTAAATATTGAAACAGACATTAACATATACAGAATAACAGTTTATGTACATAAAAAAATGAAAATTGATACATATAAAAAAGGCACAACCGAAGCATTCATGCTCCAAACATCAAACAAGGATGTGAAAATGGAATGAACAACAACAAAAAACATGCAAAAAGTCACCATGAAAGAATACAGTATGACACTACGATACCTATTGCTGCAGTACCATGTTTTAACCCTCAGACAACAGAGGGTTTTTCCTCAGTGTATGGCAGAGTCTCAATTTATCTGGGGGGGGGGGGGGGGGTGTAACATTTCAGTTTGACCCAGGGTTACTGAAATGTGCCCAGGTTGAAGAGGTTTAAAGTGGGAAAAATCCAGGAGGTAAAATTTATTTTGTTTGAGAGACTTTTCCATGCAAATCCTATGCCAAGAATTCAGGAAAAATTGCCACCCAGTGAGGGATTTTAAAAAATTTCCATTGAAAATTTTCTGCAAGATAAGGAAGAACCTTTGACTTCTTCCTAAGTTAGGCTATGGTACAAAAGTAGGTTTTTTTCATTCCCAGTGTCCAGTGGCACAAAATTTAGAAAAAAATCCCAACTTTTCCACACAATGGTTAAGTGAACATTCCATCAAAAATGCAAAAATGGAATTTCTCTATGATGCCCATCAGTTCAGTGGATAGAATGAAGAAATGGATGAACCCTTTTTTGGAAAAGTCACGGCATTACTGCAACATTTTGTTGTCATGAAAAATGTAAAAAATGTGATTCTTGAAGCATGGGCATAATTTTAAAAAATGCAAAATTTCTCCCCCACAGAGAATGCTGCCCAAAAATTATTCAAAGCTAGAATTTTTTTCCTGCATTTTGAGCATTATAGAAATAGCATTGGTAATTTCTCAAAACATTATGATTTCTTCTTTCTGCATTTTCCCAACCAGAGGCATTTAGATGACCTTCTGTCAAATTCAAATGCACCTGCCTGTGAAAGATCCCAACATGGTCACAGGATAGAAAGCAACCTGCCACCATCCAAGGGTTAAAGGTGGTACTTCTTGATCAAAGTTCCTTTCATATCTAGGTTGTCATTATGCTTTTTGTACCATTCCATTATGGCTGGCTCACGTTCATCTGTATACTCACAGACCAATACTTGTTTTGAGTTGCACTTCAGGTCTGTATAACTTTCTTTCCTTTGGATTTCATCAGCCTTCAAACACGCATCATCTTGTTCACCTCTTTCCTTATTTCGGCATGTCCTGATGTTGTTATTTGCTTCACTCCTGCCAGCAATTCATAAATAACAGCACTGCTGTATTATAGGAATGCTATACAACATTAACACAATAGATCAAGGTTCATACCTCAAGTCATCAAATCTGACATCAGCAAGATTAACAACAGCTTCAAAGAATGCAAAGAATCCTGGAAATTTGTTCAATGGCTGTAAACAAATAAGCAAAAACTTTACAATGCATGGATGACCAAATTTTCTGCAATAAAAAGTTTTGTACAAACCAGTTTCAGATCATACATTGCCACCCTATGCCTCAGACTGAGAGGTAGTTCATCATTGTCCAATATATTTGGATCATCCTGCTCTTCTGTCCATTCTTGGCTGTCACGTTCCTCAACAGTTGTGATATACGCATCTTGTAATGGGCCTGTGAGAACACAGTACATTCATCATAGAATTTACATGAAGTTCCAATGTATAGAGTTTGCTTGCTCATCAAGTTGGAATTCAATCTCATACAACATCCAGAAAGTGGGTTGAAAACAACACAATAATATACCTTTTGCAATTCTTAAACTGCTCCTATTGCAGCAGTAGACTTGAAGGAGCATCCTCTGGAAGAAAAAATTCTTCACGAAGAAGTATACAGCATTCTTTCCAAAGTTATGATGTACTTTGCGGGTTTGAAGTAGTAGAACCTTGGAAGAGCATCAGATATTCACACCAAATTGACTTATAAAATTTTTCAATAATCCAGAGCTCACTGCTTTCTTGCGGATGTTCCTGTCCATCAGGATTGTATCCAGGTCCAAAAGATCCTTTCGAGTCTTGATTGGTACCTTTATTCCATAGTCTGCAAGATGTTTTGCTTCCACTGAAAAGGATGTGTATATTCATTTAACCTGCAGTACATTTCTAGTTAGGGAGCATTACTACCATGTTGTGGTATACCAGATGACGATTGCATGTTTCCCTCACAATGATGCTTTCCAAGTTCAGTCAATTGCTGTTGGACTTCTTTTATGAGGCTTTCCTTCATTTTCTCTACTTCAGTCTGCAATGTTGTTCTAATTACAGTGGAGGCCACTTCTGAAATTGTAGTCCATATGGTATTGGTCACTTCTGACAGGATGGATGACTGCAGCTTCTGCATTTCTGTATTTAAATCTGAAATTAACATAGGGTGAAATGCTGTTGAAAGACATGTATTTGCTTGGTACATCCAAGCTTGTGCAACATTCACATACAGATCAACATAATTGGAAATTGATTATGAGCCCCCTGAGACATCTACACTACAAATAATTTCCTCAAGTTGACAAAAGGTGTGTTTCCCCTTGGTGTCAAAACAACTCACTGCTCTGCAACTTGCCACACTCACAACTCACTGCACCCCTTATGACTCACTGCTGCCATAACTTGCCACTGTACCAACTTGCCTCTGTCATTCCTTGCTGCTGTGACAACCCCTTGCTGCTACAACTTGCCTTGTTAACTGCAGCAACTAAAGTTCCCACAAACTGCTTGCTGCATGGACAACCTGACAAAACTTTAGGGAAATTGCAATTTGCCCCAATTATGCACAAAAATATTTACAAACAAGCAAGAACTAGGGTAAATTACCAAGACCACCTTGGAGAGCCTTTGGAAATCCCACAACCCCATACTCATGAGGGAGATTTACACTCTGTCCAACTGAAAAAAGTAACTAGAAAAGCTGTAGCAAAAGGCAGTACAAGTATGCAGGCTCCCAGGCTCTCTCAAGTATGCTGCTGTATTAAATGTTATGCACCCACTTCATTCTTTCACCTTTTATTGCAGCAACTTGTATCAGCAGCAGGTTATTTCTGCAGTGAGTTTTGCTTGCAGTGCGTTTTTACAGCAGGAAGGGATGACAGCGGCAAGCTGTATCAGTGGCAACGTTTGGTGCAGCAAGCACAGCTGCAGCAAGTATGGGTGTGGTGAGTTGTGCCAGAGCTGTTTCTACATTCCCTGATCAATTTACAAAACAATGAACTAATGCAGCCAATTACCATATCTACACAATGATCATGTGCTCTCAAGTATGATGCAAACCTTAGTTTTTGGCGTGAAGTTTTCTCATACATTTATCCATGCATCACACATGCACACCAGTTTTCAATAGTTGAGAATGCAAACTGTTTCCATTTATACTGTTGAAGTGAATATTTCTTTCAACAGAAGTGGAGCATTTCAAGTTGATCAGAGCCAAAAAGAACTGCCTCTTCATTGATTGCATGTCCAAAGTAGTCATGGCTTCATTTCACAATCTTTTTCTTCAAAAATATCCACCCACTTAAAACTCACCCTATTTTTCTTCGTCAATGTTGCAAAATTATTTTAAAATTGAATTTAAGTCAACATAAAAAGCCTCATTCAAATTAAAGATTATGTATCCTAGAAAAGTCTAGTATCATACTCACTCATGACTCCCCACTCTGGGTATGATGTGGACACTGGTAAAGCGCAGTGTCTGCTGTTACCTTGAGAATTTGAAGTGACACCATTGATGTTAGGGTTGCTACCCCAATTACTTCTGTCAGCTGAATGATATGGGGTGCTGGCATCCACATAACCATCTTTTGCTCCCAGTTGAATGCCATCAGAAAATGCCTCTGCCACATTCCCTGAGGTGTGAATTAGATAACGATGAATGCATCAGACTGATTTTCTACTTTTATGGAGTAATATTTGTTGCAGGAAAATTTAGTGTTATACTCACTCATTGTGACTCTCTCTTGGTCTGCTGTGGAAATTGGCCAAGCTCTGTCTTTGGTCATGTCTTGAGAGTTTGTAGTGGCAGCATTGCTGTATTGGTTGCTACCCCAACTACCTCTGTCAGCAGAATGGCTCGGAGGGCTGGCCTTATTCATAAACCCATGTTTTGCTCCCAGTTGAATGCCACCCACATAGGCTTCTGTCAAATTCCATGATTTATGAATTGGATAATGAAGAATGCATCAGACTGATTTTCAACTTTTATGGAGTAATATTTGTTGCAGGAAAATTTAGTGTTATACTCACTCATTGTGACTCTCTCTTGGTCTGCCGCAGAAATTGGCCAAGCTCTGTCTTTGTTCATGTCTCGAGAGCTTGTAGTGGCAGCATTGCTGTAATGGTTGCTACCCCAACTACCTCTGTCAGCAGAATGGTTTGGAGGGCTGGCCTTATTCATAAACCCATGTTTTGCTCGCAGTTGAATGCCACCAGCATAGGCTTCTGTCACATTCCATGATGTGTGCATTAGATAATGATGAATTCATCAGACTCATTTGCAACTTTTCAAATGGAAGAATATTTGTTGTACCAAAATGTTGTATTGTACTCACTAATGACTCCCAGCTCTTGGTACTCTGGGGAAATTGGCAGAGTTACATCTCTGTTGTTGACATGAGAACTTTGAGTGACACCACTGCTGTATGGGTTGGTTACCCAACTACCTCTACCAGGAGGAGGATTTTGGGTGTTGGCATTTTTCATAAAACCATCTTTTGCTCCTGACATGTCCCCAACAGAGGTTTTCTTTATCACATCCTCATTCATTGTTCCAGGCAGATTTTCACATGTTGATGCTGTAACACCATGCAGTCATACATATGACATGAATATTTTATGGAAAACACAAAAGCATTCACTTGATAATAGGAGAATGCATCTTGCACAAATTTTGTGAAACTGCCAACATCTGTACAATATTACAATGTAAAATACTATTTTCAACAAAGCCACAGTAACCTTCTTCAGGAGTTCTCATCGTTTTTCCATAATGGAGGTACTGTTATGTAACAAGAATGACGTAATCCCATGCAAAACAACTGGTATTGAATTGAACATTCAAGATTAGAAAAGTGAAACAGTTTGTGTACATTATCTTTGCGATGATAAAATGTTTTGAATCAATTAGCATCTTGGACAATGATTCTTAAGCATTATTTTTTAAAATTCTGGTCTCAAGAACTTAATGGGCTAATGTTGTTGAAAACGCTTGACAGCAAAGTAAATGTAACATATATCATGCACTGTCAATATCCCAGTCACTCACCAAAAGCATCAGCATTGAAAGCAGCTTTGATTGCTGGTTTGATGCATTCTTGGGCTTCATCACTGACAATGTTGCTTGTTGGCTGCCTGTCAAAACCACTCATGAATGCTGCTTGAGGTGGGCCTTCCATTGTCAAGCGAATCCTGTCTGATTGTGTTATACTGGGTTGTGTGCGTGCTGTCAACAACAAAGATTTATTTATGTCACAGTATGCAAAGCATTTCCAGCTAAAGTGGGCTCATACATGTTTTTAAAGGTTTTTAACAACAATTCAGTTTCAATAACACAGTTGAACCTCTCTCAATTAAATTGCAAGGAACCAGCAAGAAAATTTAATGTAGGAAGGTTTCTAGTTAGGGAAAGTAGCTTTTCTGCAGGAAATGTACAAAAATTGCAGGAAAATGTAAGTGGTGATATTCTGGGCCTCAGAAATTACTTTTCAAATAAGTTTACAGCATGCTGAACTTGGAAGCTGGGGTTCATTTGCCCAAATGTTCTGTTATTGTTTCCTTTCAAAATACATGAGGTTATTTTTTATTGCTTTCCTCTTTCATGTATCCAGAAAATAATAGGTGATTAGCCACAGAATATCTGACTTATAAAGGTCTGAGAGAAAAAGACATTGAGTTAGAGAGGGTTTAATCCATTGATTTTAAGGGCATTCTGATACAAGGACATTAAATGTTTGAGTTAGGGAGGAACCTGACTTAGGGAGGTTTAATGTATTGAGGTTCAACTGCATCTGCTAACTTACGTTAATATGTGTAGAAGATTTTTACCTTGCATCTTGCAATCATTTGACATTCGAGGCATTTTCTCCAACCTAACATTGTCTTCCTCTCCAGAGTTGCTGCTTTCTTCACTCTCAATTACTTGGTCATCACTTGAATGGCCCCAATACTTGCGAGGAGGTTTTTTCAAAATACGCTTTGCTCGCTTTTCGGTGGAAAATTGAGTTTTGCTAATCCCACCAGAGCAGTAACCAAGTTCTTGATGATCCTTTGCATTTCGTGCAAGAGGGTCCGTGTGGAAAGCTGTTTCAAATAGATTCCCAGAAGTGCTCTGAATGCACAATTTTCATGACTAGTGAATTGACTACATTCATATTCTGCCAAAGCGTCACAAACAGGTGTAATATATAAAAATTAAATTCCCTCACCTATTGCTCCTCCCATCCAAATGTTTCCAATTTTGTACTCAAGCATTTCAACTGGATCAGCAATTTTGAAAAAATTGAAGAACTTTTCTGCATTCACTGAGTATGATGTAATCATCTCCCCATTCACAATTGCATCCTCTTTTGGATACAGCACATATTTTCCATCGGTGCTTATCCAATTGATTGGGATGTAACCTTGAAAAAAATGATTCCTCCAGTTAGATATGATGGATTTCTTGGACATAAAACTGAAAATATTCTTCATATTTCTACTCATACATAATCATAATTCAATACTGCCCAATGTTTGAGTCAATACCAAGTTCTTTCTACATGGATTTTACATGCCTGGTTATTACAGGCACATACAGTACTTCTTCAATATCATTGCAATGCTGTTACACTGTACAACTGGTTTTTATATGAATGTTTTTAAATGTAGAATGTCAGCAACATGGCTTAAAATGGAACAAAGAAATTATTTGCAAAAATCTTTGTACCCACATTTGGTTCCAAAAGTTTGGTTCCTTGTCTGCCTTGGTGTTTCCTCCCCTGTCCATTTTGCAATCAGAGAGTCCCATGAACTTCTCTCCCGGGGGTCATATTTTCTCCCAGCTTCACCACCATCCAAAACAGTTACACACACCAGGGCTGGTACATTTTCTTCTCGTGATGGTTTTCTTTTCAATAATCCCTCAGGTGTCATGGTAAATCCACAGTACTCATGAGATGGATCCCACTCTGTGCTCCAAACTCTGGGAATTTCAACCTATTTGAAAATGGAAATTTTAGGATTCACAAAAGAAAGGACCCATACATCAACAATCTCATTTCCAATGATCCAGGTTGCATTTTACCAGATTCATTCTTTATGAGTCAGAGACCACTATATTTAAAATTATGTATTTATTCCTGGTGGTTGACCTTGAGTCCAATGCAATGTGAACCTCAACACTTCACACAATTTGGGGATTCCTCCCTCAGTAGAATAATTGAAGCTTTCCTTCTGAAACTGTGTCTACATTTTAGAATGTTTGACTTCCAGAATGCTATTTTCAGAATATTAGAACAGGTGCCAATAAGTCTCTTTGCAATTGCCTTACACATATAGCAAGAAAACGTAATTATATGCTGCAAGTATAGACAAACCTGTTTCTTCAGATCCCACACACATGATTTTTGCATTGGCTGAAACAAATGGCCAAAGGAGTCATGAAACTCATCCACTGCGATGTAAGGTAGTTTGGACCTTTTTTTCCAGTCCTTTTCTCGTATTGCTTGTTGTAATACTGGCCAACGACAATCATCCTCTTCCTTAATGGTGCTCAGCCAAGGCATTAATATACCTTCAACATTTCTTGGATGCTGAGGTCTCTCCTGACAAAGAAGTGGCATTACCTCCATGGTTGGTTCCTTCTTTTTTCACTCACTTCTCACAACGTATTCACAAAATTGCAAGAATGCAAACCTGTACAAATATATGAATAGTTATGAATAATCATATTTGGAAATGTGTAACCATTCTTCAGAAAATATGACATGTTCATCAGGTATGTATACATACATATGTATACAGTATGAATGGATATATTTTTTTCTCGAAACTTATATTGGTACAAGTACTTATTGCATTTTATGCACATGCTAAATTCATTAACACTGTAATGCAGAAAGAATCCATGTGAGAATAGAAAGTACATTGCGAGGAACATCCATGCATTTCATAGCATATACATACAGTCCAAGACACTAAACATAACTTTGACCATTTAGGAAAGGGATTCTAGTTCCAATAGGTATAAATATTAAATTCATCACTAACTGTACATGTCTTGGAACATTTGAAGCTATGGGATGAAGCCCAGAGTACACTTCAATGTAAAGTCTGAGGAGGGCATGTATGTTTCAGTCTAACTAAGATCCAAAATTGAAGGTCATGTCCAACAAGAGGATTGGAGTCTACATGCAAGTTCAAGTGGAATGGGAAAAATTTCCCAACAATTTGTGAAAACGGAATTTCAACCACATTTGCATCAAGGGAATGAACCTTGTAACATCCAATACAACTCAGCTTAGGGTATGGTATATGAGCCTCCCTCATCCTCCACTCATTGTGGGCAGCACATACACTGTTGAATTTTTGACATCTCACATGTAGTTCTCCATTTCCCTCCATTTCCACAATGTCACTGATTACAATTGGGATGAAATGCTTCATTGTATCCTGTTTCCCTGGGATGCACACAGCAACAACATTATCAGGATACCTAAAGTTTTGAAGAGAAGCATCTTGTTATGATGTATCATATGAGGGAGTCATGAATGATTCAGAAACTTACTTGCAAGTTACTTCATATCCAAAGCATACAACAGTCTTCTTCTTCCTCTTCAAATTTGTCCTCACCACAGTTTGAGCTGGTAGAGAGAGCTTGCCTAATGCCTTTACTGCTTTTATCTCTTCCATCACTTTGACTTTGTACGCCATTACTGCTCCAAGGTAGTCAGTAGGAATTGAATGCACAGAGAGTTCACCAAGGCGATTAAAGATTTGCATTAATACTCCTTTTCCACTTCTTACTAGGGTTTTATTTCGAAAAATTCGTAAGAAGTTCTCAAAAGGATAAGCGTCAAAACCGCCCAAATGGGATCTGTAAGCAGCCACTTCTGAGGCCAGATGTATCAAGAGATGATTTTTGGGTTTCAGGAAGTATGGAGAATAATCCATGAATTCTTCCACATAATGTCTAAAAAGTTTATCAGCCATCTGAACATCTCTTGTAGATGGGCATTCGTGCGTAGTTTGACCAACAAGGTGCATTGCCACAACAAATGACATGAATGCATGAATAATGTCCGGGTCCAGAGGTAGCCTGACTGAGTCAACAGCAAGCAAAGCTACTGAGTGGTATATCAGGCACTCATGAGCTTCACGCATTTTCCATTGATCCATCTGATTGAAGGTCCTCACTTGACGGTTCATTTCTTTGACAGTTTTCTTTGACCACGCAATAAGATAATCATTCACCATGCTGTGGTAGTCACTCCCCAAACGAACACTTCTTTCAAATGACTTATGCTTGCGGAACAGAAATTCAAATCCTGTTGATGCAGCTCCCCCACCAATGATGTGCATTGCATCAAGTGGGAAGCCAAATACCTGAAGAAATAATATTGGTGAGCATCTTGTGCATCTTTTTGGAAGCAAGATTAGGATAATCCCAGGAAGTATGGGAAGGTAACATGAAATGAGGACATTGAGAGGGAATGTTTAAATCAAGGATCAGTACTACAAATGTTATTGTATAGAGATGCAACCTGTATTCCTGAAGAATATTGTAAGATAATCCTTTCCAAATTGAAATTCCATTATTGTGACACATTGTCTTGTGTATTCAATGATGTGTGCAATTTATTCAAGTCACATGATGCATTCAATACTCACCATGGGAAGAATTGGAACATCATTGAATGGAGACTCATACCGCCGATGAGGGAATACACCCCCAGGGTCAAGTGATGTGTACTTTTCCCAATTTTCATTTGTGCGTAGTGGAGCATCAAACTGCTTGAAGCGTACAAACCCACAATCTGCCTCTCCCTTATCTTCACATCGCTCACAAGAATTGAATCCACTAATGGAAAGGCCTGGGAATACAGAAATATGCATCAAGACTTTTGAATCACTAATAAATTACAAGAACAACTGAGAGTCATATTATACACAATTACAAGTTAAAAAGGTTTAATTGTCTTTCAGTCTCAATTCACTTATGTTAGGCAAGATAACAACTATTACACTCAAGTGTATAATATTTTTGGAGGTAAAACTGTCCACAATGTTTCCAGTTACATATCTGACATTTTATCCTTTTCATGCTATAAAAAATGCATTCTTCTTTCAAAGCTCTCCACTAAGTCAAAACACATTTCAAATTGTCACATTTCAGGGCAAAAAAATTCCATCACATGAACATCTAAGCACATTTCATTATGCAAATTGGACAAAATAATACACACTCATAATAATGAGAAAAAAACAGAGATCCAACCTTTGCATAAAGTAATACCTTTTAAGTATGCACGCTCAACTGCATCAGCAATGATGCACCTCACACGCACGGATAATGGCCTCATAGCACCATTTGGAGTTCTTATTGATTTTGGGTGCAGTTCAGCTGCTTCATTCAAGGTCAGCTTCATGAAGGAAAATACATTTGGTTTCCCTTCACCATGGTAAACTCCTACAATCATTGGCTTGGATAGGTGCAGTGGAACTATGATACATGGCAAGACATTGTTTGTAGTCCCAAATCCATATATGCGCATCAGGATTGCCTTAGCCTGTGGTTGGGTTATCAAAATGCATGTTACATGCTGATCTTATGCATTGTAAAACAAGAAAATAGCAGGCTAACCTGTTTTTTTGGAGAATTTTCAAATAATTGCACTCCATCAATGTGCAAATCCACCCAAATGCATGTTTCAGCATTAGACAAATCCTGATGGAAAGTGAAAGATTGGCCCAAATTTTCCTTCATCTCCAATTTGATCCTCTCTGACAGATTATCAATGAATATTTTTGTGAAGATTTCAGGGTTAATAGAATGAACCAGGGTCAGCAGATGACCATGATTGTGGTAGTCCAGCAAACCTAAAAATGCAATGAACAAGAAAATGTTAGTTCTGCTTCGTCAGTACAGTTTTTACTTAAGTAACACACAGGCATAACAAAATCCCTACCCTGCTGTGAATAACGAAAGTCCTGAATAGGCATAGCATGCAATGTATTGCTGTTGGGGTACGTAATGCATTTGCCATGCCTTTTGCAATGCTAAATTATTTCCTGGGTGTTCATCATTTTCACATGAAAAGAAAACATTCATGGCATGCTAATGATTTCCAGGATTTTTTGCCTACAATAAAAATGTATACCCACATACCATGTACACTCACTTTTCTGCCTTGATTTGGCAGAAAAATAGTGTGTGTGTTACTCAAGTAAATTGCAGCAAGCAAAACCACAATGAACACATTTTTGCAGTATTATGGTACCACAACAATTACAAGTCATGGTATTATAAGTTGTGTGTCATACTCAAGTAAAAACCATACATCAAAGAACTTGACTTGCCTTGTGACTTCCCCAAGAGGGCTTTTTGTACACCTAAGTGTAGGTACCAGATTCCATTACTTTTTCCTGCTTCTATTCCATCCAGTATTGGAACCAAGGTGGGAGTTGAAACATCAAAAATGTCAGGCTTTCCAAACATGTCTTTTGGGATCTGTTGTGGAAATGAAGAGAGACAATTGTTGATGATGAGGAATGCAGTTCAGAGGTTAGTGATAGAATGAGCATGCACACTACTGGACCCTTGGATAGGAAACAGCTTTGTTAACAAACTTTCCAGTTACTAAACTTTTGGTCACCACATAAAAACCCTCAGTTAACAAACTTTTTTCTTTGGAAAATCCCAAATTTGAGAATCAACTATTACTTGTATGCTCTCATTCATGCAACTGTTCAAGTGCAAATGATCCAGCATGTAGTTGTTCAACTATCATACAGGTCATTTTGATCTTTAGGCACAGCATCATACAATGTAAACTTCATTGTCAGGTGATATGCGTATCCTCACATTTGTGTTTATCTGGTTTTAAAGCCTTTTTATTTTGTTTTTGTCAGTTACTTTTTTGATATGCTAAAACATATCCCAGCAAGATGAACAATGCAATAACAATAAGTGATCTGGATTGTATAGAGCAGTCCTCATTTGAAAAATTGAATCTTGAATTATCTTTTGGACACATGGAATAGATCAAGTTCTCCCCAATTAAAGTCTATGGGACAATCAAATTCAGTTGACAAAATTTTTGCTAAAAAAATTGTCTAGAAGCAATTGAGTTTATTAAGTGATGGTCCACTGTTGTGGGAAGATAGGTCAGGTTCAAATGCACCACATACATTACTTCAAAATCTAACCTTCAGATATGTCCAAGCAGTCTTTGGGAATCCTTTGAAGTTGCAAACTGGATGAAACTCCAACATGGTTTTAACAAAGGTTGCATAAGCTGAATGTGAAATTCCATTTGTAATGCAGAAGTTCCGGAAGATATCACTGAAGGAGTGCACATCAATAGCATTACAAATGCTCTGAACTTCCTCTGTAGCTGAAACTGTTCCATCTGCCCAGTCATATATAGCATCTTCCTCACTGTCAAATTGATGGGCCTCATACACTTCTTCAAGTTCTTTGTCACAACCATGTTCTATGGGTGCTTCCACTGTATTGCCAAAGTAGTGATGGAATTCAGTGGATAATGTATTCCTGAATAAAAGACCAGGTTGCTGTGCATGTCCTTCTTGGATGACAATGCCAACATTTTGTAATTGCTTCTGCATGATATGCAAAAGACCAAGAGCCTTAAGATGGCAATATGGGACATGCTTATGTAAGCGAATGGCTGTCTTTGTGTCCATACGCTGCTGTTCAAGTATAGTGTGCACATATTGTTCAACAATTGGTTTCCATCTCAAAACCAAACGACGACTTATGTGTTCTGCTTCAGGTCCACGCACTTGCTTTCGAAACACTTTGATGAATGGACGATATTCATCAACGGTTAAAATCTCAAAGTCACCCATCTTTGATTCTGCTGATGTGAAGGAAAAAACACAGCATTGAAGAACATATGATGATCATTCTTATAAAGTTAAAAGAATTCAAGTACTATTGAAACATTGATACTGACTTTAAGTCTGCACATGTTTACTCACAGCCCAAATTTGTAAGACACACTTATGGAAGTATGGTAATAGCCACACATCTGAAAATACTAACAGCCAATTTCCAAAATCTTGAAAATTTAGTTGGCAATCCCAAGAAGACAACAATTAATTATATATTTTTAAATATGCACATGTATTATTGTTGTAATACAGTCAAACTCCAATAATATGCCAACATTTGTCCAGAGAAATTTTGGCAGTTTGAAGAGGTTGACAGTTTAGTAAGCGCCAGTGACATCTATGTCACCAAGGCCACACTTCTTTCTCCTTTTTGGTGCCCTCAGCGTCCTCAACCAATCTTGCGCCCGGCCATAACAGGCCAGGCCCAGCAGCGCAACTGGCATTCTCATGCCAGCCATGAGAATGCCCTGTATCTCTATGACTTGGGAGAAAAATCAAATATTTTTTATCAAATGATTAAAATTGAATATATGAGAAACAGTGAACATCTCCTGAGCTCTTGTGAATTCTCCAGTACGCGAATTGAATACTTTGTGAATTATTGTGAATAGTCTCTCAGGCCCAAGTGCAAGAATAAAACTTGTGTAAATCTCCACTGGTGTTCAATTCTTACACTTAGGACCCAGGAAATGCTCACTGTTTCTCATATATTCAATTTTAATCATTTGATAAAAAATATTTGATTTTCCTCCCAAGTCATAGAGATACAGGTAATGTAAGAAACTTCAGTAATTTTCCAAAGAGTATTGCTGTGATCCATGGATTACTCTTTCAGAAAAAAATTTTGTAGCATCAATTCAGTCAAATTGTAAGATCAGGTCAATATAATTTTCAACAGAATAATCATCATTTTTCATACAAGTACAAGATCCTTGGCAGAAATTGTAATTCTACCCCAATTTTGGCATTGTAAGACAAAAATAATTGAAAACAGCACTTTTGTTTCATCACTAATGCTGGCGGATGGCAGCTGGCATCTTATCAAGGGTTTGCATAGAATTTAACATGGAGATTTGTTTCATTCAGAATTTTGGCAGTTGGCAAGGGTGGCGCTTTATTGGGGGGGGGGTCTTAATGAGGTTTCACTGTACCATATTGCTCTAATAGATGCCTACTATCCAAAAAATGCCTGCCTCTATTAAAGGCCATGCATCAGAACATAGGCTGAATTAAATAGACTCCAGCTTCCATTAGTAGCCAGAGGGAATACAGGGTAAAAAATGTGTGGGGGGGGGTATTTGGCGTTATTTTTCTAAGGCCTGGCAGTATTTCCCTAAAATCCTTGATCCTCCTAAATCCCTTTCACTTCACAAAAATGCACTTGTCTACTGAATTTTAGAAGATGGAAACCACCCTGAAGCACTCTCACTTCAGTATTTTCATTTTTCCTAGAACATTCCTTTCTTTGTAAATTCCACATGAAGCACTTTCATGTTTTTACCTAGCTAATGCATTCAGTTGCCATTGAAAAGGTGGAAATTTGCAGGCCCTTCAAGACTTGCAAATACCATTTATTCAGATGGTTACCTGAATAATTGCTGCACAGATTTAAATCTCAACTGATCATTCAAAACTCTTTTAAAATTTGTGGAATCATCAATGCAACTGATGGCTGCAGGGATTTGTTAATTCAGTGTTTTGAAAATAATCAGCCTTGTTTCAAAGGAAAATATACATCAATTATACATCAATGGCAGCAAGAACAGAAAATAATTTGAGTAATGTTGTGGAAGAGGAATATAATAGTGAACTGGACAAAAATGAAGTGGTTATTTTTTCTTATAATGAAGGTGATGAGTTAACATTTAAAATCATACAGTGGCTGTTTCAAGAAAAAAAAAACAGAGTGATTGTACATTTGCTCCTGTCTATTTTTTTCTTTTTAAAAATAAAAAGAATCTGTCAGCTAGAAAATATATAGCAGCTTGAACACAAAAAGTGTCAATGTGAAACAAAAAATCCAACAGCTCGAAAAAAATGTTTTGGGAATAAATGCCATTCTCCAATAATAGGGGCTGGTCTCTGTTAAACACTGGGGGATACTGGGGAGGGGGGGGGGGTACCTTCTGAATAAGTGCCCTGGCATTTATTAGAGCAAATGTGGTGCATCAATTCTGCTCCAAAATACAGAGTGTGGAACCAAAAAAATCATTGTGTATCCTTTGAAAGGTNTTAGAGCAAATGTGGTGCATCAATTCTGCTCCAAAATACAGAGTGTGGAACCAAAAAAATCATTGTGTATCCTTTGAAAGGTGGAGGAATTTGTGTATCCATTCACAGATGAAAATTTTACCTTTAGTCAAAAAATAATGTTGTTAAATTTTGAATTAAAAAATTGGAATATGTGGGAAGCTCAAAATTCTGTTTTGACCTTGCATGTCAAACATAAATGTTTTTCTGGCTTCTTAAAAAGTGGCTTTTAAAATATCTCTGAAACTTTGCACAAAACTGTCTTCAATCTTCTTACAGGAACAAATGATCACTGAGAAACCCTGGTTCATCCAGTGGCACCATCAAACTCTTCACCACTTGGGGTTATAGACACAAGGAAAAAAAGTTCTCACCAAATCCCATTGTATCCATTTCAAACATATACATGCAATAGTATTCCTCAAGCAACAATAAAAGGCACTTCACACACGCTTCACATCAGGCTTAGTTAACATGGCACAATAACTGCACGGTACAAAAATAATTCCAGTTGCAAAATATAATCCTAAAAGGGGTGGAGGAGAAAATCGCCAGGGAAAAAAATGCTGTGGCCTGAAAATCCCATGCGGCCAAAAATCATTTAGGCCCAAAAATCTTGCAGGGTCACAAAATGGCGGGTAAGTACAAAAATCCCGGAAAAAATTGTATCAGAAAAATCTTGTTCAAAAACATCACTAGACAATGGTATGCAAACAATTATAAATCATCCAAGAAGTCTAAATGCAGTTAAATGGTGATAAATTTGTTTTCAATTTTATGATGTAGGCCAGAATTTAAAAAAATCTTTCTAAAAAGTCCACAAGTTCTCCTTCAATTCTGCAAATAAGATTTCCACCCAAATTGATGGATGTTTATTACCCCACAGTCAAAGTTGAGCTGTAATAATCATATGATAATCAGGATTTTCCTCCCAGGGGATTTCATGGTGGAGCCCCTAAAACATAATGCTCATTATTTAATGGAACAGCCAGAGCAAGACAAGAGCTCAACACACTGAAGTTTGTTGTACCCTTCACTGCAATATCCAGTTAGGTTAGCATATATGATTTATCCAGTTCACTTTGACTCCAAGAATCTTTAATCAACTGCGCCCCAGGTTATTAAATTTACTTTGCATCTGGCAAAATTTATGCTCAGATTTCATAAAGCACAATTTTACACAGATTAACACCAAAAACTGGGATAGAATCCCAAAATGCACCAAATTCCCTGGGACAAGTGATTCTCCTCACGGGAAGACACCCTTTTGCCACTGGAGAAACCGTGGTTTCTCCAGTGGCTCGATTTTCCTCTTCACAGCATCCTATCAGGCCAACCGGTTGGCCTTGATGACTTTCTCCTCCATTGGGTGGCCTTGATCTAATTTTTCCATCTCCACAGATTTTCCCAAGAAATCTGTGGAGATGGAAAAAGCAGTGATGCCTTAATAACGCATTTATGATGGGTGAACTTCCCTGGAGTGTTAAAAAAAATGAAATTTGGGGCAGTGTTATCTTGTAATGCCTAAATTACTGTTTTTTAACCCTTTTTTTACTGCAGGGCATCATGGAGCCTTCCAACCATGATGGATCATGGGTGATTCACCCATCAAATCACCCATGATGCATCATGGTCTCCAATTGTAATGCCCAAGTATTTGCTGGGTAGAAAAAGTCACGTTCCTAAACATAACAAGAATCCCAACATCTTTTCTTGAAACAGCTCAACTAAAACATATCCCATCTAATACCATCATCAACACATTAATAGATACTGGTGCACAAACAAATCTCATCTCACAACACATAGTTACAAAACTTCAACTCCATACCAGACAAATAGTAAAAGAATTTGAAATCTCTGGCATCTCAAACAATTCAAAACCCACATTATCATCATCCATAGTTCATCTCCACCTACAATCCACAACAGACCCTTCATTCCAAATACACACATCAGCAATCATAGCACCCCAGGCACATTCTTGGATGGCAAAGTAACCACACACTATCCCTTGGATGTCAGATTTCAAAAAGCAACTTGCAGATCCCAGATTACTAGAAAGAACCCAAACATTGTTTGACCTCTTACTAGGGGGAAAAGATATA